TTTCATGCTCTAGTCGCGTAGATTGTTGTTTTTTTATTTTATTTTTTTTATTGTTGTTGTTGTTGCTGTTTTTCTCCTTCACATTTTATATTAAAACCCACTTTAAAAAAATCTTCCACATTCCTAGAAAAGATGTGAGTGATTAAAATTCAGTAACCAATCTGAAATGCAGTTTGTGTTTTTGACTGCTTTTATGTCTTTGTTTACAATGTAGTTGACCTTGGTTGCAGTACATCTTAATCTTAAGATTACACTCTAATCAGAAACCTGTCCAGCAATGAGGTAATGAATAGTTGTTTGAACAACACGTAAACAAGTAGCTGTCAGTATCACAACACACAATTCAGGCTGCATTTGACAGTAGATTCTTTATAGCTTTACCCACAACTCTCTGTTGGAATGGCCTTGAATTTGTCACATGGTGGGTGTGTGTGTGTGTGTGTGTGTGTGTGTGTGTGTGTGTGTGTGTGTACACATGAGGGAGAGAAACAAAGAAGAAGTGTGTGTGTAGTAAATGAGCAGTGAGTGATCTACACTGTTATTGTGTCATCCTCGTGTCTTTATTTCAGTGTAGAAGCCAGAGTTAATGAATATCAGACTGGAGATGAAATCCAACTTGCCTTAGCTTTAATGGACCCTGAGAGGGTCAAGATCTGCATATTGATCAGGACAAGTGATCGCTCGTACACACAAAAACTGTGCAAGAACACAGGTGTCAGGGTACAGACACACACCATATACAGAGGTTCCAGCAATTTGAGGTTATGTGTTTTGATTTTAAATTTGCCTCATGTTGTTTTTGCTTTTAGTTTTGTTTGTGTATGGAGCTTGTAGCAGCGGCGTGAATGTGCAGCTGAAGATTGTTTTTACCTGTTCAGAGTTAAATGTCATGGAAAAAGCAGCCTCTGTCCACAACAATACAACAAATTACTGTACTCTGCCACGACATGTTTTAATCCCCAAGGAATAAAAGGGCATTAGATTACAGCACAAAGACAGAGCCATCAGTAAATGGGGATTAGTGGACTGGGATTTTAATCTGATTAATACAGAAGCAGTTGGAATATTAGAGATGTTTCTCAACAATTGTATTTCAGATGAGGGAATGATCACACATCACTGTCCTCGGTTAGATCTTTCAGAGCCACCATATGTTTACCTGACCTCAACACTGCCTCAGAGAAAACAACATTCCCACTGTAATCTATTACAATAGAAGCTCATTACGCAACCAGGCAAATATACAATTAGAAACATACAGGAATTGACTGTTGTTAATAGTCAAAGAAAATTTGTCTAAATAAGTAACTTGTGTTCCCCTGCATTTTTCATAGTTGAAGTAAAATTAAATAAAGTTGCAAGAACAGTTAAAAATTGTGATTATGTTAAAGATGACATCAAAAATTGTTTGCGTTCACGCTCCCAGATCCAGCCCAATGGAAAAGTGATATCAGGCGCTTATAACCAAAAACAACAGATTATCATCAGTGGTAACCCCTGTGTTTATGAAGCTCAAAATGTTTTCATTTTTGGTGAAATTCTCATAAATGTAAAATTCAGTGATATGCTTATTACTGAGGTCATAGTTAAAGGTGGTGTTGAACTGGACTACATTATATTTAGAGGTGTTCCTAATAGTTTGACCCTGTCTCATGTACCACCTTTAACTATGGCCTCAATATATACATTTATGACAATTTCACTAAAAACTGTAACATTCTGAGCTTCAAACACAGATTTTATGGTGGAAGTGTTTTATTGAATTGCATATAATTGTACACGTGTACCTAATAATGTGGCCGGTGAGTGTGTCGTATAAGCTAGGAGCTGGGTAGCGATGTGCACTTGAGGATACATTTCTTTACTTTAGAGAAATTCAGCTACTGGAACAACTAAGAGTTCATCTAGCTGGACCTAGTACAAATTGAAGTTATAATTAGTTCCTTTCATAGCCTCTTTCTACTGCATCTCTGTTTCACCAGTCTGTTGATTTAAAACCATTCTGCAAGTTAGAAAGTTTAAGAAAAAGACTAGGAAAAGGTGTCATTTAGACAGAATAAAACTAGAAACCAGAAGAAATCTAGAAAGGTGAAACTGTTCAAGATACAACTCCTCAAATGTGGGAAAAATGGACTTACAAAAAGCAACAATTGTGTCAAAACCACTGTGCCTCCGTGGCTGAAAAAAGAGGTTAAACAGTTAATTTAAAAAGGTGTATACTTAACCAGAACTGACCCCTTGACTCGTACACTTGTATTAGCCTGTATTGTGTGTGCACTACACAAAGACATCATTATGCATTGCTATCAGTGCCCTGACAAAAGTGAATTACCACCCTGCAGGTGATTTGATACCTCAGCCAGTGCAGCACATATATCTTTATACACAGTGTATGACACAGCATGGATGAATCCATTGCCAGAATTTTGCCTGTTACTGATATGAGAGGGAGGTTTCAATTCAACACGCTTATGTATATTTTGACTTTCATGTTTATCATCCTTAGCATGCATCATATCCCTGTTATGAATAGGCATGCTGCTGGTCCATGATATGGTAAATTGGACATTTTATGGTTTAGAAAAAGAGCTGTTTTTATCTTCCACTTTTATTCATGGCCCCTGAATCTCACTGTAAAAGCCTTTAAGACTGATTTGGCTTTAATAAAGAGGAAGTGGCCTATTATGACTATTGGGTGAGGTTGGTTGCCACTGAAGAAAGCTTGAGCCGCCTGCTTTTCTCTTAAACTTCTCAGTGCTGTGTTGTTGCTCACTCCAACCAACAGCGTAACATTTTACATGCCCTTAAGTGTACCTAACACGGCACCAGCTTGTTACAGTGGCACAAATACCACAGACAATCTAGCAATTTCCACATCAAGAAGATTCAGAATAATATCAGTTTTCTTCAACTAGATATTGTCATCTCCTTGGTAGCTGGAAAATGTTTCCTGCCTTTGAACAGATATCTGTGCTATGGTCTGTTTTCTTTTGGATGCTGTGTTCTGTTTTCCATACACATATGGTTCCATCTCTTCCCTGGGGAATTTACTCTTCTGGGCTAATGTGAATATTAGTATGGGTTAAATGCTCCAGTCATTTGTGCATTAATGCATATTGCATAATTAATGTTTTTGTGAAGTCTTGGTTTGCAACAGTGGAAAAGAAAAATAGTTACATCCTGAAACAAGATGAAGCCCAGTGCGAGTTGTTGATGAGATCTTTATGCCAGGGCTGTTTTGATGTCTCCTGGTTATTTCCATTCTTAATTAAGGGCTGCTCTGTGAAGATTTAAGACATTCATGAGTGTGATGGGATTAAATGGGACACTGTAATGACCCTGTTGTCGAGTGGCTCATCATACAGGCACAAAGCTGGGACTGGAGGCTGGTGAAAATCATGAAGCACTGTTGTAGTCTAAGAACACAGCATCACAGTTTACTTCTGTAAGAAAAGAGAGAGAAAGTTTTAGCTTTTTAAAATTGTTTGTATCTAGCTGCTGTTTACTTTATTTAAAATTTTAAAAGGGTTTGTTCTTTTTTTATGTATAGAGTTGTCATCTTTGTTCCAGGCACTGTGATCTGTTCTAAACTGCTCAAATCTATTGAGTTTAAAGTGAAAACTTTTCATGTTTCCACAATTTAGCTAAAATATATCTCAAGAAAATAAGATGCCCTATAATATCAATATAATATGAATCTACAATTAAATCTCCAGACATCAACTGCCAAATTAAACAAATCCTCACTCTTAGGTGACTATTTATTGCCACAAAACTGAACCTCTACATATCAGTCTTACACTTTTATGGAAGCCTTACAAAAATACGTATTGCTTCAGAATCACATACCGAAATAATACAAATACAAATACAAAAGCATTATGGGAATTCATCTGGGGACAGGAAGAATTTTAGTTTAGTATGTTTCCTTTAAAATCTGCCGCCTCTGTCCGTGGTGCTGAAGCACCAGGAACCCACACGCTGACTTTATTTTTATGTGTCAGTCATAAGAATGAATAACTCACTCCTCGCTGTTTTTCTAAAGTAAATTGATAAGAGGCCTGTTATCTAGATTGTGCTAAACGTCCAGCCTTCGTGCGTAATTGAAAAGACTGTTCCCATTGTTCAGGTGCTTACATCTGATGCAAAATGTTCTCACTTCCTCTCCAAATTTTTAACATCAGTCTGTATGTGGAAGATTTATTTTTAGGACCTTGGTTACGTAAGACATTTCAGAAAATATTTTCAGACTTTTCAGGCTGTTTGACCCTCATCAAAAACTTTTTGTATGAGAGGAACAAAGGGCGAGTCGATGGGAGTGCAGCTGATGGCTGCCTTGTGATTAAAGACACCAAATTACGGAAATGAACAGTGTCGTAATTACATTCCTTAATCACATTCTGGAGGTCTAATTGCCTTAACGATGTGTTTCATTATGTGAAGCCAGGTATTACAATCGACAGTTTTCATACACACTTGTTTTCGAATTAACATTTACTGTACACAGGGGCAGCGCGGTGGCACAGTGGTTCCGGGTTCGGGCCCCACCTGGGACCTTTCTGTGTGGAGTTTGCATGTTCTCCCCGTGCTTGCGTGGGTTCTCTCCGGGTGCTCCGGCTTCCTCCCACTGACCAAAGACATGCAGCTTAGGTTGATTGGTGTCTCTAAATTGCCCATAGGAGTGCGTGCGTGTATGTGTGGTTGTTCGTCTATGTGTTAGCCCTGCGATGGATTGGCGACCTGTCCAGGGTGTACCCCGCCTTCGCCCGATTGCCGGCGGGGATTGGCTCCGGCCCCCCCACCCGTGACCCCTTTCAGGGACTAAGCGGTAGAAAATGAATGAATGAATATACTGTACACACACCGTGGTAGAAATTGTATTATTCGCCCACGTCCTCTGGCCTTCGCTTGATGGAGTAGAAAATTAGAGCACGATTTTTCCCCAGTGCTTGACATCTGGTGATTCTGAGACTGAGAAATAAGAGCTACCCCACGATGGTCCGGTTTTATAAGAGGCACCTGGGCAGATTTAGCTTGTTAAACCACAGTGAAATATAAAGATTCAATTTCAGATTGAAATTTTCAGTCAGTGTATTCATCAAACATAAAAGCTGAAGGCGGTTCACTCTGACTCCACCTTCACTACACTTCACATCAGAATAATCAGAAGTATTTCTGTTGTTCAAAATATTTTAATAAAGCTTTTCAACAATGAAATACATACAAATGCCCCTCTTTGCTCATATAATGACTAATGTATCTACAATAATCCACAGCCTGACCTGACAACGCGATTATCTGAAGACCTCGATCATCCGGGGAGGAAGGATAAAACGTTTAAAATACAACAACTAGGAAAACGGACTACAATGTGCAATGCAAGCAAAAATATCCAATATAAATATCCAAATCAATAAATTACAAAAGACACACCGAAACACCTGATAAACCTTAATTCAGTTTTTTTTTCTTTTTTCAATTTTATTGTCTGGCGTGCCCAACTATTAACAAGTGTCCGGATGTGCACATACACTTCTGACTGATTAAACCACTTGCCACCGATTTTATTTAACTTTTCCTTGTTCAAGACATTCCACGTCCTCAAAAGAAAAGTTCATGGAAACAGGCCTTGGAGCAGTACGCAATATGGAAAAAGTCTCTTAGTGAAACAAAGAAAACTCGCAAATGATTGTGGAAGCAGCAGAAAGTGAAGCTGAACTGACGCTCCAGGAAGGTGTCCATCTGTTTAAGTGGAAAAAGTCGCAAGTTGTCAGGTCACCAAAATCTCCAAAAGGGTCCATAACAGAGCAAGTGAGCAGCAACTCACTCTGCACTTTCCGCCACTCATACAGGCCTCTATGTTTGGTCTTCACTGTCATTCATACAGCACTTTAAAGATGGATTATATACACAATCAAGTATTGTTTGAACAAAAAGTGTTTTAATGCAGTTAGTAAATATTATAAAAGTATTCATCGCCATTACTTCATTGTCTCTAGCCTACTGACTTCAACAGCAGAAGCTTCACAAGTGTTCCTCTCCAAAAGTGTCCTTAAAAGTGGTGTCTGTTCTCTTATGTGTTTCTGGAGTCCTTGTCAGCTGCAGTTAAGGCTTGTCTGTGCACTGTTTACAGAGGCTGGAGGCGGCGTTGTTGAAAAGAGCACATTTATCGGGACAGGAGGATGCAGCTACTCCGGTGGAGAAGGGATATCCAGGCGGCTGCTCGTACGCGCCTAAGCCGGGAGCAGCGAGAGCAGTGGTGGCCGGTATCGAGGCAGCAGAGATGGCTTGGCCCTGGTTGAGATAAGCCACTAGTCTTCTCATCTCTTCCAATGCCTGCGCCTGCATGAGGATGTAGTTTTTGGCAAGCAGCAAAGTGGCAATTTTGGAGAGTTTACGCACTGACGGGCTGTGCGCGTACGGGATGACCGCTCTAAGCTCATCCAGCGCGTCGTTCAGATCGTGCATCCGTCGTCTTTCTCTGGCATTGATGTTTAACCTCAGCATTTTCTGCTCTTTGGTTTTCTTACCTCCCTCTGCTTTCCCCGCGGCCACCGTCCGCCCGTCAGTCAGAAGGACCATGTCACACCTGCCATCGCTGTCATCGTCTGGACTCTGCTCTCCGCCGCTGCTCTCCGCCGCTGAAGTCCTGTTGGCGCTCTCCCCGTACTTGACGCACAAAGATCCGGTCGGCAGACCTAGTGGCGCCCCTCTACCTCCTGCCAGTCCTCCCGGCTGAATCGGGTCTGGGTCGGTCTGGTCAAAGCAGCTGATCGGTGACTGGCGGTCTCTAGCTGGTAGTTCAATGCCGGCCGACGATCTGAAAGGGTCCATTTTCTTAGTGGACACGGCACTGAGAGTTTTATGAAAAATGTCGCCTGTGCCGCCGTTCAAGTTCATCCTCCTGTCCATAGCCATGTGGGTTCCGCGTTACTGCAGGCTACGGTCGCTTCTCGAAACTCCTGAAGCGTCTCCGCGTGTTCCCTTTTCGGTCTGTCCTTTGTGAATTCAGTTGTTATCAGTGGTGAAGTTGCAGGCTCGCTCGACTTGTCAGCTGAGGTGTGGAGGCGAGGAGGAGACACGAAATAAATGCTGCTCTCCTCCTGCCTCTCTCTCTCTCTCTCTCTCTCTCTCTCTCTTTTCTGTCTCGGCTTCACCTTCACCGGATCTCCACGATGACTCTCGTTACGCACAGGACGCCGGAGTCTTTTTACATCATTATCTCGAGGCTAGTTATTAAAAAGGATTCGCCTGTTGGGACAGAGCCACCCTCTCCCCCTCTCTATCCAATCAGGTTAACGGTATAATTAATGGTATAAACGGTATAAACAATGACGAGCGTTACTGCGTGCGCTCCGTCTCTACCTCTTGCAGTGTGCGATCGAGGCTCTTTATAACGTTGTTTTAAGCTCTGAATACTGAGACTTGTGTGACATTGACTCGTGTATGTTTCGAGTGAAAAGTTGAAAATCAAAGTGACGTTTGCGTTTAATCAACGATTTATTTAATATTGAATTTTTTTCAGTCAGCACAATTCAAAGCTATTTAGTGTGTTTGTGAATGTTCATCCCTTTGTGACTGTTTTGTGAGCTCCCCTTATTAAGTGTGACACCAAACCACTTGAATTCAGAAAAAGATCAAGTTTACTGTCGTCAGTCTTTACAGGAGACACTGTAACACACCTGGCTTGCATCGATGATGTATTGTTTTAAAAGCCATATCAAGCGAATACCTTTTCATTTTGCCTGATTGTGGGTATTAGTTTAAGTCAAACGTTCCCTAAATAGATTTCTGTTTCACTATTGTACTATATTTTTCAGTTTCAGTGTCAGTTTTCCCATGACAAACTTGCGCATTTACCAAGATGTATTTTTGCCCATACTGTACTGCCATCTACTGGGTTGTATGGTCAAGTACACTCATAGTAAAGAGCCAAATATGATCAGATATTTAACGCGGTGATCCCTTTGGCATCCTATATGAAATGCATATGAAGCCAAAAAAAATAAAAAAAATAAATGAAAACGTTTGGACTTATGCTGAATGTCCCACTTACAGTCATGGGAGAATGTAAATTTTAAATCTAAATCACAAGTAATTCAAGTAATTAAGCAGTGGATTTGAATAGGTCACTAAATATAAGGGAGGTAAAACGTTTTAGACTTAGCCTAGTATTGTGTATAAGCCCCTTTTAGTCTTCTCTTTACAAGCTTTACACACATGATATGGACAGTTTATCCCGTTCTTCCCAGCAATTTCTCTGAAGCTCTGTGAGACGGGATGGGAACTATCTGTGAATTGGCATCTTCCGCTCTTTTCACATATGTTCTCTGGGGTTAAGTGAGAGTCTTGTTCTGAATTCACTCCAGTGTCACTGTCTTGCTGAAAGGTGAACCATCACCTCTCAGGTTATTACAGTTTGGAGCAGGTTCACTTCAAGGACATTTCTCTGTTTGGCTGCATTCATCCTTCCCTCACTTTAGACCAGTCTTCCTTTCTCTGCTGCTGAGAAGCATCACCATAGCATGATGCTGCTCCTGCCATGCTTCACTGTAGGGACTGTATTAGCCCGGTGATGAGCGGTGCCTAGTTTTCACCAGACAGTGTGCTTGGAGGTGGTTCCAAATGTCTTCCATTTGACAAGTACAGAGCCCACTGTGCTCCTGGGAGCACACAAGGCTCTAGAAATGGTTCACACTCTTGCTCTGATTTTATCACAGAGGTCAACAGGACATTCTTGGACTTGGTTTTTGTATTGACACCCAGTATGTACTGTGATTTATAATAGAAATGCGAAAACATTGTTTGCAAGACAGATTAATATCAGACCAGGGAGGCTGTTGTTTTTGGAGCTGCACAGTTTGGGTATTTTGACCTGCATTTGTTTTGAGGGTTTGTTTTCAATCAATCTGAGAGTGCAACTCTAAATCACTGGGGTATTTCTGTAAGAGAATTATAAAGGATTTGGAAATAAATCGGTTCTTGATAGGTGAACGGCTACTGCAGAGCGACAATGGATAGTGGAGCTGTCAGTGGTGCCGAACATACTAATGGCTCCACAGTTTACACCTGAGCTACTTTCCACTCCAGAGGGATCACATTATCCAGGGAACTCAACAGTGCACTAAGATTTAATGTGGCCACCTCTGTAACTGCTTGCTCAGAGAACACATTCTTTTTCACCTCAGAAATTCAGGCAAAAAACCATTTCAGAAATTACTCTCCCCTAGAAGCCATTTGTAGACAGTAGCTGCAGTGTATTAAGGACAAAAACCGCCCTCCGCTTCCTCTAACGTTACCATGGCAAGCCACCATAGCATGTGTGCTGCCCACATTAAAGATGTCTTTAGCAGTGATCACAATTGACCCAATTGATTCCACAGTGAATATAATGTGGATTTTTGTCCAACTCTGACATAGCGCTTTGGCACCTATACACTGTGTAGGTGGAGTGGAGCTCTGTAGAAAAGTCTGCTCTGCCTCCTCCAGTGTATCACCCACTGAAGCTGACAACGCTTTGTTTTGTTCAGAACTTATGTATGTCCTTTAATAACACAAAAAGAAATGGAGAAAAGAGAAGAAATTGAAATAAAAATATATATAAATATATCATTTTAAAAGCTATCTCACCATTTTGTGAATCTATTTAATCTTGAGAAATGAAATCAATGTTGGCAGACATGTTAAATCAGGAGGTCAGACAACATCTTAGCAAGTTTTCAGTTAGCTGAAAATATGCTCAGTTACAAAACGCTTCAGTAAGAAACATAAAATCCACCATTCTATCCATCTGTGATATCACAGGTTCTGTAAACCCCTTGTTTTCACTTCTTTGCTGCAGTTAGCTGTGAAGTAAAACTGCATTCTAACAGCACAATAACTGCTACTAAAGCCTCTTTTGGGGGGCTTGTGAAAGCATATCTGCTGTGTGGTTAAGCTGAGCCATAGTCATCTCATCATGATATTTGCTGATTACACACTGAAGTTCCCTTAAAAATATTACACACCATTAGAGTGATATATAACCAAACCAAATGAACTATCATTTAAAAGCAAAGGTGTATTCAACCTTAAGTGCTGTAATGTTTTTATCTTGCTGGTGCACATAATGTTTATTCATAGCATCAGAAAGACCAAAGCCCAACATCTTGTTCCACATGTTCAAGGTCAAGTTTTTAACCACTTTCCTGCACGTTTCAATTGGTGTATGTTCAGTCTCTCTGCTCAGGGTCCATGAAAGGCCATCAGAGGCAGAATACCTGAGGAGTTATGATATAAGGAGTGGCAGAGGTAGGCACTTTATACTGAGACAGCGAGAGAACACCTTCATGGCCAATCAGGTCCGACTAATGAGACACGATGGGCCAGGATGGAGCCATAGCCATTACAGCCATGGTCTGTCAGCATTTTGGTAATGAGACGACCATGAAGGCAAAACTGTGCAAGTAAAGAGAACAAGTTTCAATTGATATTGGGATAAAAAGAAGTTTAGACACAGGAGCGTGACAGAAAGTACTCAAACTGTGATTTAAACTTCCAGATGCAATGAGATTTATACTTTATGTGCAGGTTATTACGCTGCACCTTATGTCCCTAGGACAGTGCCCCACTTTTTGATGCTGTTGATTTTGTCGCATGTCGATTCATCTTACCACCCTTGAAAGTGTCTTGCAAAATTAACAAGCCAGTTTGAAAGTATCTGAGTGTGCAAAGCATTAAAAAAACTAAAATACAAAAATCTGAGATTTGAGTTGATTTGATCATCCACGTTTACAGGTTTTCCTAAGTCGGACTGAGTTTAATTAATCACTGTGTAATTCATTCAGACTTTTTACTACCTCCACCAAGAAGGTTATGTTTTTTAGTTCTGTGTGTGTTTGGTACAGACATTGGTCGGGACCAGCCCTAAAAATGATTAGATTTTGGCTGAAAAGGTCAAGGTTACAAAAATATATTTTTAAAAATCACAAGAATCCCCATATTTAACATGAGGCAAATTTATTAAAAAATTCACATCTCCATCAAAAGTTATTGAAATCATTTGAAATGTAGCACACCTATGGAGGGCGGCAGTGTCTATCACCAGACCAAATTTCATCCGGATCTGACCCAGATTCTGTATCTGAAGGCCAATTTAGCCCTGAAAACCCATTTTAACATATATTTTCTGCCATAACTTGGCCTATAATTAAGACAGAACCCTGAAATGTTCAAATAAGATGCACAGTATGCCTAACATACCCTAAAAGATGATCTGGATCCAATCTAGAACAAGGATTTTAGACAGTATTTTGTGTTCCTCTGGATCTCATTTTTCACAAGGGACCCATTTGCGTGAGCGAATGTTGTGCTTTGGTGGAGGTTCATGCGCTTTCTGAGTGCTCTTGATTTTTAATTTTTTATTGCCCATTTTGAAATGAATTGGCAGTATTTTCTATTTTTACCACTAGGGGGCAGCCAAGGATTTCTAATGGGGACCCCAGTTGCTGCTGTAGGAACTGAGGACTGGATGATGAACATGCCTTATGGCTGTCTTGTGGATTTCATTCAACTTTGAAGATTTTGGTTATCAATTTTGTCATGTGGTGCTCTACATAAAGACCCACCAGTGTACTTACTCATAGCTTGACAGGATGACCAATTTATGCAGTAGCTGTCCAAGTAGCAGCTTCATCTTTAAATATCCGCTTCAATATCGACCCAGTTGGGGTGGAACAGGTCATTCAGTCATTTATTCATATAATTTGTTTTTTTTTTAAAGCATAGCTCTTGATCATGGCATTGTACTTTTTTTCCTTGCAGAGTCTATGTTTAAGACTCTAACAAGCTGTGTTAACTTATTATCGGTCAAAAGATTTAAATCATCTCCATTTTTCCTGTTTTTATCAACTTTAAACTGTTTAAATGCAGTAAATAACCTGAAATGTTACAAAGCTAAGAAGTAAATTGCCAGAGGTAAGAATTTACAAAAAAAAGTCAACAACTTCATATAAAACAGGCCATTTTCAGGGATGAAGTAATAGGTTAATCATTTCTGCAGCAGTGGAAGTAAATTAATCCTCAAAAACTGATGTCAACAAATTCTACAGATATTTTAACTTCTGTTGATTACTTAGAACAATAAATTTTATGATAAGATTTGATGCACAATATGGTGTAGGATCCGATTCTACAGTGATACAGTTAATAATTCAGGGATAACAATGTGTGACTAGCTGCAGAATACCTGCACTTATTGAGCTTTTACATACATGTTGTGATGTTTTTGTATCGCGATATATTGAATT